CCTGCTTCATTTCTGGATTTTTTTTGTTCATCTACGATTTGATGATTTCATTATACACTTCAATTGTTTCATCAAGACCTGATTGCCGATTCTTAAAGATTACAATATATGAAATTTAAAATTTTAATATTATAATATAATTAAATATTTAAATGTTACCGTTTATACAACTTCCTTTATTACGTTTCCTTAATTAAGATTTATTAATAACTTCCATATTTAATAGAAAATATTGTAAATGACTAAAATACCCTTATTGATTAATTTTAATTAGAAAAAAATAAAATTTTCCTATTGGTCGAAATTGGTTTACACGTTTTCTTAGAAATGCACGATTTTCATTTGAACGTGCCCCTATATATAAATATATATATATATATATATATATATAAAGAGAGAGAGAAAGATAGGAGCGGCTGCAATAAATATTATATATATATACGAGTTGTTTATCCATGTAATGTTGAGGGATGCATCTCGATAAACTCTTCCCCCAATTCTTGATTTGTTCAATTTTCCATTCCTCTCGATCTTGTTGTTATGATTTTAGGCATTGAACAATGTTATAGTTTTATAGAGTCGAGATGTGAAACTTTATGACGTTTTACATTATAATCATAAATCGTAATTCTTTAAGGAACATAAGTAGAAAAGAATGAAAATTCATCTCCAACGAGATTAATACCAACCATACTTTCTGAGTTGGATTAGCAGTTGAGATGCTACCTTCAATCAATCTTCCATTTTACCCTTTCCAGGCTTTCATTTCAAAACATATTTTATGAATTTGTACACAGATTTCAGGTTTTATGATGCTTGATATATATCCTCACCTTTAATTTCCACCTTATCCTAATCATTACTTGATCTTGAACAAGACACAGCACTCCAAAGGGCATACATCATCCATAAATAAACAATTGAAAGCTTAAATGAATCATAGATATGGCGCTAAATAATATTAGAAGAACAACATCACAAGTACAGTTTTTGCTAAATAATAAGAGATCGTTAGGTGAGTTCAAAATTCACCCGATACGCCTAGTCACAAGAACCACGTCTCCACTGGTATAACGTTGACCCTTACAAGAGTTCCCATATATTTGGACACCACAAAATGCATACAATATCATCAAGCCTTGTATTAATAACTTATATCACTACTAAAAAAAGGGTTTTTTTTTTCAGACGGATTTTGCCGTCGGAAAAACCCCGCCGCTAAATGCAATTTCTGACGGATTTGTATTTTCTGGCGGACAAAATTCGCCAGAAATTCTTCGAACAGGTTTATAATATGTTACCACCCTATTGGGCTAATTAGAAAATGTAGTTAGTGTTTYCGACGGATTTTAAAATGTAGTTAGGTTTATAATATTTACCACCCTATCAGGTTTATAAAAAATAAAAATGTTTTTTTTTTCTTATTTAAAATATGAAATGCTTTTTATTTTTAATGGAAAAAAGTAATTACCAATGGGTTTTTCGTCGGAAATCCGTCGAACAATCTGTCAGAATTTTTTTAATGAAGCTTGAATCTAATTATTTACCGACGGATTTTCCACCAGAAATCCGTCGGAAATGTAACTGGTATAGGAAAAAAACCCAAAAAACCTCCTGATCTGAAATCCTAAAATATAAACATCCTGTAAATTAAATACAAATATACAATACACAAATCTGCCATAAATACCTAATATGATTATCCAGACGAAATAATATTCATATATAAATTCGATCGATGACACTAGTTCAAAAATACACTATATCAAATTTATTGCGGCGGAGTCGGCAGAAACTGTTGAGATTATGTAAATCTCTTCACCATATCCATCATGTGTGCATACTCTTTCTTCCGGATCTCATCTTCCCTATTTCGGATCTCTTCTCGGTGAAGAAGTTCATTTACTTCCTTCTGTAGGATCTCTTCTTGAATTTTTAATAAAAAAGATTATGTTCCGTTGGTAATATTAAACTTGGAAAAATGGTTTATTTTTACATTCTTTCAAGTTTAAATTTACTGACGGATTTTGACGAAATATAATTTTTTTATTAAAAATTATATCCCACCGAAAATCAGTCCGGTAATATTAACTTGGAAAAAAGTAAAAAAAAAAACTTTGAAAATTATCGGCGGAATTTAAAATTTTTTTTATTAAAAATTATATTCCGTCGGAAATCTGTCGGAAAAAAATGTTTTATTGTTATTTTTTTCCTACCAAAAAAAATATATATATATATATATATATTTATTTATTTAGTTATAAAGGTTAAAAATTTCCGACGGAATTTAAATTTTAATATAAAAAATTAATTCCTGTTGGAATTTTTTTTGATTAACGCTAATTAATTTATTTAAATAAATTAGACCAATTTTGTGACGGATTTGTGATGGTTTTGAATAAGTAAAAAATCCGTCACAAATCCGTTGAAAAACCGTTTTAAATAATTTTAATTTTTTTTTTCAAAAATTCAGTGAAGGTTTTTGGGGGATTTGTGGCGGACGTGGATAAAAGTTGACTTTTCTTGACTTATTTGAGATCCTTCTGAAATCTGTCGGGAATTTTTCCGACGGAAATTCCGCTGGAAAATTCCGTCGATGATACCCTTTTTTTTAGTAGTGTAACTGTTACAAAAGTGGAACATCATGTTTCAAACTGCTAATTAATTCATATTCAAGTGAAAAAACATCAAACTTACTCTCTCAGCCTTCGTCATCCTCTTCAAATGGTACCTCATCCATGAATACACAAGGATAAAACCTCAAGAAAGAATACCTTGATGCCTTATCAATGAAAAGGTCTTCTATATCAGGATGTAAAGTGTTATCTTGAATTTAAAACTGGGCTTCTTGCCCATCAAATAAACAATACCCCAAGTTTCACCTATTAAAATATATGATAAACACATCAATTAGCTTCATTCTCGTAAGGGATACARGTTCCATGGAGAAGAACCAGAATAGTAGTAATTCCGCAATATCCAGGTCCGTAATAGCTAAAAGGCAAAAGACAATTCAACACAAATATGTAATTGCGATGGTAAACTGGTTGAATTTGATTTTTTTTGTCGTTTAGCTAGGTCTGCAATGAATATTGCAGAAGTAGTGACATTTGAGTCAATCCGGGAGAGAAATTGTTAGAAGACCAATTTGGATGCGTGAAATGGTCATTTGAGCCAATTTTCCTTTTTAAATTGCCTTTAAAAGATTTATTTCTATAACTTTACTTCTACGGTTCTACCACAATAACCCTGCAATTTTTCTGATGGATTATAGGAGTGGGGAATAAACGAATTATAGTTGTTCAAAACACCTGAGTTCTCATAAAACATCAATTTGACAATGTTTCAATCTTTCCTGCATGGATGGGTCGCACCAAAACTCTCCAATTTCACACTGTTATTAACTAAGAAGCTTCTATCTTTTGAAAAAAAAATATTACCCATATGATACGATTAAACTTATATATATATATATATATATATATATAGGGTTTCAAAACTGATATTGTCTTTTCATATATTATTGACTCTTTATTACCTAATATTTAGTGCATGAATCTTAAGTAACTTCATATCTCTAAAACAACAATAAGATCTCAAACTATAATCAAGATAGACTTTTGAGTCTAAGATTGATGGTTCGTAAAATAAATTGTTTTAACCTTAAACGTTGAAAATGGTGATGAAAACATTAACATGATCTGACATGGAAAATCAACTTATTTATATTGATTTACATAAAGTGTTATTCTAAATAGTCAACATTGTGGCACCAAATAATGTCAATCTATATACTCAAGGTATATCATAGAATGTGTTTGGCAGTTGAATGGATTTACAATACTATGTAAACATGATATGATAGATA